TGACAATACGTTCAAATATAAGAATTCGAACAAATAAAAATTCGGTGAAATGGAAATTCTGTCTTACAAACATTCGTCTAAATAAATATTCTGTTTAATAGAAATTCGAGTTAATAAAAATTCGGACAAATGCAAATTCGGTCAAATAGAAATTCTTTAAATAAAATTTCGACTAAATAAAAGTTCTGCAATGCTAAAAATTGATTAAATTAAAATTCTGCTAAATTATAATTCTAAGAAATAAAACTTCCGCTAAAAGTAAATTCTTTCTATTAAAATTGTACCTAATAAAAATTCAATTAAATGAATATTCTGTTTAATAAACATTCTAAAAAATGAAAATTCTGACACATAAAAATTCGATCAAATGGAAATTCTGTTAAATGAATATTTGGTTAAGTAACAATTCTGTAATGTGAAAAAACGATGAAATAGAAATTCTGTGAAATAATAATTATAAAAAATGAAACTCAGGATAAAAGTAAATTCTTTATATTAAAATTCTGTCTAATAAGAATTCGTCTAAATGGCTATTCTATTTAACAAAAAATCGAGCATATGAAAATTCGATCAAATATAAGTTCTGTCAGTTGAATGTTGTTGCTTGACAAAGATAACTGACGCACACACCACTTTTATTTCTGTGTGTCGGTAAATCTGTACGCGGTTAGATCGTGTCTGTTTTACGCTCTTGCGAGACGAAGATGACAAATAAGAATTCGACCAATGGAATAGACGCCACGGCGACAATCGACCAATGGGATAGGCGTTACGTTACTCTTTAGAGATTTCTTATTAAGGAATCTTAGCTGAGAGATGTAATATCTCAGTTTTAGTATTCCTATTTAAAATCTTAAATTCTCAGATCCATTGTTCCTACCTGCTCAGCGAAATATCCTTCAAAATACCACGATTATCCTCTCGAGATCACATGAACCTTTTCATGTACCTATGTTACTTACATCAGGAATGAGCATGGATCCAATTTATCTACCATGTTACCATTTAAATCAGATTTATAAGACTATTAATACTAATTTGGACATCTCTTTCTGTAATATTTCCTCTTTTCTTAAAATGGTTCATCAATATATTTTAAGCTTGAGGTGAAACAGAATGCGTATATATGAGGCATTTCATATGAGAATACGGGGTCATGTCTCGGATTTTTCTCAAAATTTGGTAAATTGTAGTGATAGTGGTGCTAAATAAGTGTACAAATTTTGAATTTGAAATTTTTAATATTTTTCGAGATATTTACAATAACAAATTTGAGCAATATTTTTTTGCTTTACTTATAACTTATAATTAATTAACTAACAAAAGTTAATAAAAAATGAAATATTTTACGAACAAATAAAATTAGAGTAATTTTGAAAACACCATTAGAATGCTTATCAAAATCCGCATCCAACGAGCCCTATATGAACTATTTTTAATAAACGGGTGTTAAATTAATAATTAATAATAAACATTATTTAAATAATTAATAACATTTGAAGAAATGAAGATAAAACGTCAATTCTTTTTTTATTTGGAAGACCATCTAATTCTGTGTCAAAAAAAAATATTAAGTACTTATTACCAAGAATCAAAAATTAATTATAAAATGTTATTTAAAAAAAGACTGAAAAATACCATGCTGAGCCCTACTGAAAATTCTCATGTAGGATCTTATATAGGATCTTACATAAATTCATATATTAAAATCCACATAAAATCCTATGTGTCATGTAAGAAACTATATAGGATCTTATGAAAAATCATATAGGAAATTGAGACATGATTTGAAGTGGGATTCGATGTAAATTTTTATAAACGTATTCTTAAGTAATAAATTATGTAAATTCCTATGTGAAATCCTACAATTTTTTCTGGTCCCATTTTTTTCTTCAATTTCTTATGTCAATTTCCTTCGTGTTTTCTCATTAAAAAACATACTAAAATTCATTGCTCAATCCTTAACCAGAAATTTTCCTATATCAAATCATACATCAAATCTTTTTTCGATTCTTGAATAAAAAATTATTACAAAAAATCTGCCATGAAATCATATTAAAAATCCTCACGTGGGATCATATATATGATTGATTTGAACATAAGAAATCATATAGGATTTCATGTAGATTCTGAAATATCTATATCTAAGATTTCACATAGAATAATATAAAGGAAACAATATAGGATTTCATATAGGAATTTTCAGTTGGCATACACCTTCTGAGTTAGAGTCTCAGCTTTTATAGTATTCAAGACTGATCTCAATTGTGAGAAAAAAAATTATCACCATCTGGCGGCGTAAGAGTGTAACTATGATGATCTACATCTATATTGGAATTTCCCATATAATTTCCTATATAATTTCTCATATAATTTTCGACTTGGTATCTTAGATGGACAATTAAAACAGTGAAATCCACACATGACATCCCACATAAATTCCTATATGATTAATTCTTACATGAGATCCTATGTAGGATCCTGCATAGGATGTAGGATCCTATATAAGATCATACATAAGATTTTACATGGATTTTTATATATATATTCCTGTATGATGAATTCTTGCATGAGATTTTAAAAATTAGAGAAAAACGTTTTTTGCCCATAACTTTAAAAAAATGTATTGACACCAATAGACACTAGTTTTGTAGAGTTTTTCAAAACGCATCTTTTGACCTATTAGCGAATATCCTACTGTTATTTTATTTACAGTTATTAACAATTTAAAATTAAAAATTTTTTTAAACTTACCTTTTTTGCATAATTTATTAAAAAATCTTTATGCATCCTTAAAAATATTACAAACAACTTGGAGAATACTTAAAAACGACTCAATTGACCTATTATTGAACTTTTTATTGTAAAATATCCCTAAGTTATTGATGTTAAAAATCTATCTCTGCAAACGCCCAAAAAATGCAACTTAACACCGTTTTAAAATTACTATAATACTAAATAAGTTACCATAAATTGATCACAAAAAATTTCCATGGGGAAGCAAAGTGTTCATTTCATGCACACAAAAAGTTCATACTGACCAATTTTATTTTCCTTGACCTTTCCCTGACTTCCTTCCCTGTTGAAAATTCCTATGTGAGAACACATATGGGATCCCATCCAGGATCTCTTGTGAGTTCTTATGTGGGTTCCCATACAGGTTCACACATAAGATCCTGTATGAAAAGGTTCCTGGGATGAACTTGCGTGAGATCAAGCGCACGATCTTATGTCTCTGTAAAAGCAATAACACAGGATCCCATGAGGTTTCCTGTGTAGGTTCCTATATGAACAACACGATAAATAGGAACACACATGGGATCTTATCCGAGATCTTGTATGAGTTCTTACATAGGTTCTCACATATAAGAAGATTAATAGCATATATATAAAAGCATTCTATAAAATCTTATTAAGCTGCTATTAATCTTCTTATATGTGAGAACCTATGTAAGAACTCATACAAGATCTCGGATAAGATCCCATGTGTGTTCCTATTTATCGTGTTGTTCATATAGGAACCTACACAGGAAACCTCATGGGATCCTGTGTTATTGCTTTTACAGAGACATAAGATCGTGCGCTTGATCTCACGCAAGTTCATCCCAGGAACCTTTTCATACAGGATCTTATGTGTGAACCTGTACGGGAACCCACATAAGAACTCACAAGAGATCCTGGATGGGATCCCATATGTGTTCTCACATAGGAATTTTCAACAGGGTTAACCCGTGACTATCCTAATATTTATTTATCTAAATGTAACCTAAAAGAATATATTTATTCAAATTAAATATTTTAATTAAATGTATAAAACAACTTCGTATTTTTTTGCAAAGTAACCCTAATAACCTAAATCTGTCAAATAATTAAATTTTTATGAAACACCCGGTACCCTCATAACAAAAGGATATCCATATCAATGGTCGATATCCTAGAATGGTCCCCAGGATATCTTGGGATATCCATAGGATATCCAAACCGCCGGTCTGTGGGACATCAACAGGACATCCATAGGATATCCCTAAGACATCCACAAAATATCTATTGGATATTATATCGCAGGATATCCATGGGATATCCACAGGATGTCCGTGGGATATTCTTAGGATATTCACGGGATATTTAATATCTCAACATATATTTTTAAAGGTTAAAATTGTTAAGCTAATATAATGAATAATAATATAATAAAAACAAAAATCTTATGAGCTTCTAATTTATTTTAAATGAAGATTTGAAACGCATTTTTCAAAGTTTTTAAATAAACTCATGCACTTAATGTATAATTAATATTAATAGTTATTCGTTATTTGCGGGGAAGAATTTATATTGTTTAAAGCCAATTTATTTTCTGACAATATTAAGCATATGAATAAAGGAATGAATCACGAATGAGAAAAAAATTAGTTAATAATTTTTCAAATTAAACAACTTTCTTGAAAAACAAGTTGCATTTTATTTTATTTATATAAAATTTAATTCACAGAATATTCTCACTCGTAGTCTCATGACTTTAAAAACAGTATCCTGAGAATATCTTCTTGACATCCAGAATATCCTGAAAATATCTATGGGATATCCTGACGATATCTATGGGATATCCTGATGATATCTGTGGGATATCCTGACGATATCTATGGGATATCTGGATATCCTTAAGAGATCCTTTTCATATCCATAGGACATCCCTAGGATATCTGCGGGATATTATCAATATATCCCAAGATATTTTGTGTTATTAGGGTAGTAATAACTTTTTACGATGTGAATACAACTGACATTGCTAAATAGTAGTTTGCTAACTTAGCAACTTTGCTACTCGTAATCCCTCCCTAATCCCTCGTAAGCCATTAAAGCAAAAGAAAGAGAGGAGTCTATTCGTTTTGTCCTAAATAGGTGTGGTAGATCGGCTATTGATTGTTGACTGACTAGGCAAACGCAAACACGAAATAAACGCTCTGAATTAAGAAGTGACAAAATCAAATATAGAACAAAAATTATAAATTAATTTAGCGAATGTATTTACACATGTACTCATAAAAATTACAATTTTCCATAAAAATCCATCTCCGCTCATTCAATCACGTACACATTTCTAAATCGAATTAATCGTTACCGCTACAAATAAAATTTAATGAAGTAAGTTTTTGACAATTTTGCGGTTATAAATAAAACTATACACAAAATAGTTGTTAAGAAGTGGCTATTTGATAGCATTCACCGTATCAGTCGACAAATAATATAATAAAATGGATACTACGCTGACACTCATCATTCTAATTCGCACCTTACCCATTCCATTACTTGTAATTCTCATTTTTATATACTCTCGTTCCTCATAACTTTTCTTGGTATAAATAAAACATTAATAAATCTGACATACATAACTTCCAATCAGTAATTTTGATAAACATAATTAATCAAAGAAAAATTTAGGATGAAAATTTTGTTCTCTCAAGATTCTATTTTATAAAATGTAGAGAAATAAAAATGCAAAATCACAAATTTTATTCTTTAAACATTCGAATAATTGAGTTTTATAAAATAAGTAACATTTGTAATTATAAATATAACAAATTTAAACATTTGTTTTTATTATTTAATTAAATAATTTATTCACATCTTAATATTAAATATTTACATAGCATCAAAATGAAATCTATGTGCCTCTTGAAGTTTCTCAATTTTATCTTCTCGTCTTTCCTTCCAATACAAAATAAGAATAATTGCTGTTATTAAACCACAAGTTCCAGTCAAGGCTGCAGCACTTAACAAAATCAGTTTACTAGGTGTCACAAAAAGTTGAGCTTTCCATCTACTAGGTTCGGAAATAGGATTAGGAATGACAACCATTTGAGAATTAGGAATTATTTGAAACCATTCTCGAGATTCTCCATTTACCTAAAATTATTAAAATAAAATATTAGTCGATATAATATTCTTTGATAAATAAATGTAAAGCAGCATGACTTATTTCCTGTACTTTTTATTAATTTTTCATAATAATGTAAGGGAATAATAAAAGTGATAGATTAGTGTGGATAACAACATGTTTCACTGTTATTGTTTTTTTTCAATTTACAAAATATAGTACTTTTTCGTATAGTTAATATTGGAAATTTACAAAAAACCATAAAATAATTTATTAGTCTGAATGGGAAATGAGTTCTGCTCTGTAGTCCGAATTTTATACTATCCTCTGCTAAAGTAAATGCCATTTTTAGGAACAGTCTCTTCATATTGTTATTAAGATATTGTATTAAGGGGACTTTCTGGTTTAGAATTGATAAAAAAGACAGTTTTAAAACTTTTGTTTTGTTTTTGTGTCAATTTACTCCCGTAGAAAAAAACAGAGGGTAGAAATATGAAGTTTCAAAGGTTTATTCTCTAGTTTTTACATTCTCATCATAATGAGAAGGTATTACATTTGGGCGATTTTGAGCATTCTCTAATTCCAGTGAATCTCGACGTTTTGAGACTTTCTGATGCCGAAAAAATGGGTCTTAAAAAAATGTTTGTCTGTATGTATGTCTGTAGACAAATTTTGTCAGACGATAACTCGAACAAATTTTAATGAATCGACTTCAAATTTGGTATACACTGTAAGTGTACCAAAATCTCGCCTGAGTTCGTTGGCCAGATGATTTCGTCAAAAATCAACAAAATTATTCAAATTTTTGAGTTTTTAAAAATTCAAAATGGCGCATTGAAACATTTTTGACGCGATATTTTTAGCATTTAAAGGTATTCTGAAGGGATAAGATTTGAAAAAATGATAAAAACTGAACAAAAATTCTAAAAAAATCTTTTTTTTAATGCTTGTAAATTGTTTATTTAAAAATTTTCTGTTCTTTTAGTACACTATTTGATAGAGCCTCAAAGTACCTGTAGAAATTTCGTTAATGGGTTAATGCATGCCTACTTTTCCTATTGTATGTTTCTTATTTTCGAGCGTGAAATGCGAGTGCTGTGATGAGAATGTTATCCTTAAAGTCAAAGTACTTTAAGAAAATGAAATTTAATTTATAAAAACCGAAAATTTCACTTATATAAATTGTACAAAAAAATTTTTATGAATAAAAACATGAGGGCAAAACCTCATATAATAAATTTGTTGCTTTAAAAATGCATTTACTTTAAAGTTTTTTTTTTAATGTTTTTAAATTTTCAATTAATTTTTTCTTTTACTCAATTGAAATTAGTTCGAAGCGGAATATCTTATTTTAATAAATAATTTGGTTTGTCGATTTTCGTTAATTACAAAGACCTGGCCAATCCACGGCGCAAAATTAAGGAACTAAGTTTGAACAGCTGCAGTGCCGCTATTCTCATTTTTTGCTCGATAAAAAATTTATTCTAATACCTTTAAACCTTAGCTATTTGTATAATTTAATTTAACGCATTTTAATAAAGACTATAAGTAGTTTCTAATAAATTTTTCAAAACAAGTCGATTATATGAAGCTTCCCTTTTGAAATAACTACTTTTGTACTTATTTTAACTCTGTGTGTAATTAATTTTACTCTTTTATCAACTACAAAGTCTGAAACAACTACAAAATCTCATTCTACCAAATGGATTTTTGGGTCATTCAACTACTTTCTGGTAGTATAATTAATATAATTTTTAAATTTAATTGAAAAATTTTTGAATTACACACTGTAGTTAAAAAGTAATTAATGCTACTAGGTTTTGAATTGTAATAAACAAACAAAGCGCGTAGCGCGATGCTTGGACAATGCGCGTGAAGTGCGTATCAATATCGGACCGCGAAGAAGGATGATCATCCTTCGCGCGCCCCGGGGCTGCCGGATTTTTTAACTAAGGAATCGAATGGTTTTTGGTTTTTTAAAATCGGTTCAGTAGATTTCGATAAAAGCCGTGCACCAGTTTGAAAAATGTGTTTTCGAGAAAAACGCATTTAAAGTTTTCATAACGTAATACATTGAGCCTGGATTACCAAACAATTTTTGATTACAACTTTTGTTTTTTAACATATTTTTAAAAAAAACGTTTTGGGACAATAATTTTATGATACTAAGGAACATTTTCAAGCAAAAAAAAATAATCTATTTTTTTGGAATTCTAAACCAGAAAGTCCCCTTAAGATAAAAAAATTGAAATTAAAAATATTCTTAGAAAACTTACCCCTATTTTAAGAGAATCGACAAAATTTGGAGTTCTACCTAAACCAAAGGTAGTGTAAGGTAAATTTAATGAATAGTATGCACTTTGTGGCAACTGTGCAGCTTTTCCGTTTCGTGGATTTCCATCTTGGGTTGTTGTTTTGTAGGCAATAGAAGGGCCAGGTAAATTTGTTCCATAAGTTCTTTTTTTTTTGCCTAAAGTACCCGGTGATATTGGATACTTACTATTTGTAAGTCCAGTAAGAACCATTACTTTAACAAAGTTGGCATCATAGTCAAGACTGTTTTTAAAAGCAGCTGTGCGATATTCTTTTTTTACATTATCATTTGTTACGAATATAACATCTAGAACTCCGTCTTGATAAAAATCATAAAATACAGCCATAATGCTGTTATTATAAAAGGGACTCAATGCATTCCAGTGGACTTCAAATGTTCGTTTAAATTTACCACAATTGCTGCAATGAACATTTAGTAATAAAAATGTTCGACTATGTTGAGAATTTGAACCCAAAGTAGCAAGTAAATCTGGATAACCATCCATATTAAAATCTCCACCACGAAGAGTTATAGTTTCGGTGTACATACCTTTCTTTTCAGGAACAAAGCCCCACATAATGTTATTAGTATCTTTGAAATTAATATGCAAATCATACCATTCATCTGAATATATCATAATAGTGCTGTTTTTGCACAAAGGATCAAAACATAAAGGTAAAACAAGATCAATTCTTCCAATCGATTCTGCATCAATGTATAGAGATTGACCTATGTGTCCAGGAAAATGATCTTTTGAAAAATTATAAGGGTAATTTATTTTATGATCAAAATAGAAGCCTTCAGATTTATTTCCTAACCAAACTTCAAAATTTTTTTTTGTGGTTAAAATAAGATCGGGATGAAAATCATTATTAATATCTAGAAATGCATTAGAATGAGGACTACTTATTTCTGATAACTTATGACTATCTGCATTGTTCATTTCAATAGCTGTAGGCTGAGTTCGGTTCTTATTAAATGTCCAAAACATTCTCTTGTTGTCACTGTCTATACCAAATAAATCAATTATCATGTCATGGTTATAATCAATTGATAAAGGTTGACCTTTTATTTTTATAATTGGATTTGAGATATTGCTGCAACTCCAGTCACCATTACTGCCCCATAAAATGTATACATATGTCAGATGATCATTCTCATTTAAAGTTGTCACTAAAACATCCATGAATACATCTCCATCAAAATCTCCAGGTACAACATTTGTGATTTGCTCATTACGAAAACTACAGCTAAGATTTTTCGATAAGCGTAAAAGTGGTTCTTGATCAGAAGCTAACATAATTTGAACGGTCCTGCCATTATCTCGAATTACAAACACATCTGTAAGTTCATCAGAATTAAAGTCACCAAATGCAGCTGGCATTCCATCCAATACATTTCCGAATACGGCAGTAGTGATATCACTACAATTTATTGATGTCAGAAATATCGAAAAACAAATGATACAGTTAAATATCCTCATAACGAATTTTCTTCATTTACCTGAAAGTGTGAATAATAATATGTGTTAATTGTAACAGGGAGTAATTTTTCGTATCATCGATTCATAAAATTATATTTAATTACTGTCCATAAATTTTATTTTTTAACTTAATATTCAATTTCATTATTAATGGAACCTTTGATTGATTACCTACATACATACATCAATCAATTTCGAATTGAACGTCGACATTGTAACATGTTTATGGTTGTCAATTTTATATTGTATCAATTTTCAAGGAAAAAATTTTAAAACCTACAAAATTTATTTTTATAATTTGCAAAGGATAAAAATTTTTAAAAAATAATGATTCGCTTTGAATGTAATATGCCTTATTTTCTATAGAACATGATTATCTACAATTTCAACGTGGAAAATTTTAAACAAATAAGTCATTTGGAAAATATTAGTTGGTTTTTTAAAACAAATAGCCATATTTTCCAAACGATTTACTTGTTTGAAAATTATCACAGTAAAGTTGTAGATATAATTGTTTTCTGAAGAAAATAAGCTACATTACATTGAAATCGAATCATTTTTTCACTCGGGGGTTTTTGGGGTCGCTGATTACTAATTTGAAGTTGGTGTTTGAAAATTATAAATGTCGAATCTATTATACTAATTATAATTTTAAAAAAATGTAATTTTGTTATTAATTTTATTATCTGGGTGATGATATGATATGATTTATGTCTCCCAAATATTTTAGTAATTTTTTTTACAAATAATTAAGTTTGACTGTTACATTAGTTGTTTTTTTACTAAAAATTAGTTATTTTTTACTAATTGGAGTAGGGACGATTCGTTCATGGTTTTACTGTTAATTAGTAGTTTTCTACTAATTCAGATTTAGAGAGTATGGTTGCTGATTTCGAATATAATGTCAGTTTTTAAAAGACATATCTAAAAACACCAAGATAATAAAATTAATAACAAAATTACATTTTTTAAAAATTATAGTTGCTATATTGGATCTGCTATTTTGAATTTTCAAAAACCAATTTAAAATTTGTAATCAGCGACCCCAAAAACCCAAGTAAAAAGTTTCAGGCAAATCTGTTCAAATTTTTATATTTTGGGCGCCATTTTGGATCCGCCATTTTGAATTTTCAAAAACCAACTTCAAATTCGTAATCAGCGACCCCAAAATCCCCCGAGTAAAAAGTTTCAGGCAAATCTGATAAAGTTTTAGAAAATCGTTCGACATTTTTAATTTATGAAAATTAACTGGGTAAAAATTTCCCAACTGGGCCACCTTAAAACTGACTTTTCAAATTTAAAATATTTTTTTTATAATCTATTGCAGGAAGCCGAATTAAAAACATTCCTGAAATGCGTTTTTAAAAAAATTAATTTTTTAATTATTTATTAACAATTGAATATTTTGTTACCTTTCCACTAAATTTGCAATTACTCTGTTGCTTGTTAATGAAATTTAATAAAATTTGGTGAGCATATAGAAAAATTATGTCTCTTTGAAATGCAATAGAAATTTCAATTAACCTTTATTGTTTATGCAAAAAAAATTGTTTATTTAATAAACAAATGAATATTTAAACTATTTCTCATATGTTTAGGAAAAAATTTCAAAAACGACATAAATCTACACTTTCTCAACTTTAATTTAAAAATAAAAATCTTAGTACCTTCAAAAAATGAGTAAATTACGCGAATTTGAAGAGCGACGTGCAAGCGCTGGAACATTCCAATGTAAAATTTTCTCTAGTGAAACTAATTTATAAGGGAAGTGTTCCGGTTGTGGGCACTAGTGATGGACGTGAGCGAGAAATGTAGAGAATGATCAATTACGAGAAAATTTCGGTGCTTTTTTGTTTAAATTCTCATCTCATCTCGTCTCATTTGAATGAGCTTCTCGAATTTCTCAAAACTCAATAAACAAATAATTACATACTTCATTATTATTATGACAATGACAAATATTGTTGGTTAAAAATTTTGTCAGTTATAATTCAGGATAACTGTTAAATTGTTTGTAATTTTTAATATTCATACACACGACATTTTTGTCCCTTTTTAAATTCGTTGAATTTAATGTAATAAGTAACCACCAAATGTGTTACTTCTAGACCAATAATAATTTTATTTACCTTTTTATTTGTAGTTATAAAATGAACTTAAAAAATAAAAATTTTATCTAGACATCGGTATTTCTTTATAATTATAATAAATAAAAAAATATAATAATAATATGCCTTTTTTCATTTTATAATTTGACTTTTTTTAATTCTCTATATTTTGCATACCAGTTTTTAAGATATAAAAATTAATTTTTGACAATAATTGGTTAAATATCATAAATACTAAAATATTTTATTTTTATGACTATTTAAAATATATATTTGAATATTTGCTTTAATTAAAAAAATATTTATAGATAGAATTGTATAAAAATTATTGAATTTTTTATTGGAAAAATAAGTTGATTAAAATAATAATCATAAAATTTTTTATGTAACAAAATACCATAAATATTTATTTATTACATATAAATTATCATTCACGCCAATTTATCAATTTATATCACAAATAGAAAATAATAGAAAATGAAATTTTAAAAAATACGATTCCTTTATAAAATGTAAATTCATATTTCATAAACAACAAGTAGGTACAATTGATAATCAATAATTAATATTGAAAGTTGTATTTTTATTTGTGTTAAGTCAGAAGATGTACAGAAATAATCATAGAATAAAAACAAATTTCAAATTAGAACTAATTTAAAAGTGACTCTAATAATAATATTAATCAGACAGTTACTATTGCTGTAGATACTTAAATTTGAAAGCATTCAAAAAATTTGATTATTAATTAGTCTTTAACTCCTGCTTGTATTTTTGAAGCTAAGGAACATGAAACGAGTGAGTTCAAAACATTAAGTTCTCTGATCGATTCATCGTTTAATCTGTTCCTATGTTTTCGAATTATTAGAGCACTTCTGGAAAAAACTCTTTCGGATGGGACAGATGTTGCTTGAATGGCGAGAAAGTCTCGAGCCATTCGCGAAAGATTTGGAAATAAATTTTCATTCTCCTTCCACCATTCTAAGATATTCACACTTTTGTGTGCTCTGTTTTGAGAAAAATAAAGATCGATTTCATAACGCCACTCTTTATTTTGAGATACTTTTCTTCTCTGTTTTTGAACTGCTGGAATTGAATTTTCAGAATCACTGTCATAAAATGAAAGTATGTCAATATCATCTTGGTCTTTTTCTTCAAAATTTCGATTTTCATCTTGGGATTCATTTAATGCAATCTATCGATGAATTAATCGATTAGTAAAAATATATAAATTAAATACATAAATAAATTATATAAATTATATAAAAATATTAATTAAATTTTATTTTACTTTTGAAAATATTACTAAAAAGTTATTGAAAGATTAGTCAAAAAATGCAATTTTTTCAAATTAAATTTTTCGAAGTTGAAAAATAAATAAATTTTTAAATGTGAGTTAATTAGCATCCCACACGAAAAGGTTTCCCGAAAAATTGCAGAAACGACTGTTGGAAAATTTTCGGAAGCGTTCTGAAAAACTTCCGGAAGCAATTCAACATGGGATGGTAGAATAAATATTACGCATTGAATCTTTTCAATTATTTACCTGAGGAGAAGGACGGTAATAGTTGGTTTTGTAAATATTTTCAAACATAGACAACGAATAGCGAAGCATTTCTCTCCCCCAAGGTGTTTTGTTAAATTGTTCTTTTTTATGTCTGGGGTTGACCATTAAAACTACACAGTAGATCCAGTTACTGTTTTTGTAATGTTTGGTTAATTTGTCTTTGGCAGCACTAATTGCTTCGATTATTTGCCGTTCAACTGTAGTAGATGTTTCCTTTTCCAAAGATGTTATTTCACTTTCCAATTTATCAAGAAGCATATTATACGCGACGATAACATACGGTAAAGTAGTGTATTTTTCTCCGCTCAAAAGATCCGAAACAGTTTTAAAATACCTCAAATATTTACAAATTTCGTGCAAAACTAACCACTCCTGCTCCGTTAAACATAAATGACTTAGAGAATCGTTGTTTCTGCAAATTAAGTGTAGAGCACTTTCCATTTTTAAAGCCGTTTGAATCATCTCGTAACTAGAATGCCATCTGGTCTTACAATCAAGATTTGGAGATAACATTTTGACATTACATGAATCGCAGCAGCTTTTTAGTTTGTTCCTCCACTGCTCTGATTTTTTTAAAATACTGAAAAGTTTGTGAAGTTTATTGATTGGACTTTGAGTACCGCGGTCTATCATTACAGCTTCTATTTCTAATTCTAAATTACGAAAATCATCGTTGTTAACATCATCCGACTCTTCTTCACTATCGGAACCCAAAGAAGTTTCATCTGAATCGAGATCATCATTTTCAAAATCAATTTTGAGCTGCTTGAGCATATCTTGGGCAGCTAAATTAAAAACGTGAGCCCAGCAGAGAAAACGTTGATTTTCAAAGTCAAATTCCATAAGATAGGATAATTCCTTCACGAATGTCGTATTAGATGCAGCATTGTCTGTTGTGATACCTTGCACCTTGTTCAATAGATTTGCAGCTCCAATTACTTGGTGAAAAGCAGCAGCGATATCGCGTCCTGCATGCTGTCCTTTTGTAGGAACAAAGTCAATTAGAAACGATTGTAGGCTCCAGTCATCATCGATAAAATGAATTGTGATTCCATGATATGAACGTCCAGCAATTGACGTCCAACTGTCAATCGTAAACGAATACTTTGACTTATTTTCCTGTAATATGCGCATAACAGAGTCTCGCATAGATGTAAATCGAGTATTTACTAAATTTTTTAGTGCTTTTCGCTTTGGAACTTTAGCTGATGGGTTCAAAAAATGAAAATAATTTTGTGTTTCCTCATCATCATAAAAACTGTATGGCAGATAATTCCTTACTATAAAATCCACTGTCATTTTCTCAAAACGTTCTTGTGAAAATGCCTATTTAAAAATTTTTGTTAAA